TGAGGCTCAATGTCAAGAAGACAAAGATTCTCACCACTGGACCAATTGGCAGCATCAGGATGGATGGCGAAGAGATTGAGATTGTTCACAGCTTAGAATTCTCAGCTCCACGATCAACACTCTTGGCACCAGCAGTCAGGAAATCAAAAAACGTATTGTGATAGGAAGGTCTGCTATTAGGGACCTCTCTAAAGTACTCAAGAGCAACGGTGTCTCTCTGAAGACTGAGGTGTGCCTGATACAGGCCATGGTCTTTGCAATCCCTTGTTATGCATCAGAGAGTTGGACAATGACTAGGGAGGACAGGAGAATTGATGCCTTTGAGAGGTGGTGCTGGAGAAGAGTATTGAATGCACCATGGACTGCCAAGAAAACAAACATATTAATCCTGGAGAGAATTTAACCCAGCAAGTCCTTGGAGGCAAGGATTCTGGGCCTTCGTCTGACATACTTTGGGCATGTTTCAAGGAGGAACAGGTCCTTGGAGAGGGACATCATGCTTGGGAGGGTGGAGGGACGGTGCAAGAGGGGAAGACCCTCTATGAGATGGATTGATTCAGTGACTGGGGTAATCGGGATGGGTGTGTCAGAGGCAGTCCAACTGGCACAGAATAGAGCAGGGTTTAGGGCTGTTGTACATAGGGTCGCTATGAGTCGCAAACGACTCGACGGCACATAACAACAACAACATCCTGGCTAATGCAATTGTTCTTAATTGTTATTGTTGTTAGGTGCCGTTGAGTCAAATATAACCTATACCAATCTGATAGACAACAAATCTGAACCCTGTCCTATCCGGTGCCGTTTTCTCACTTCCTGACACACTAGAGACCACTGTGGCAGTCACTGTGTCAGGTTGACAGTCTTCCTCTCCTCTGCTAACCATCCGCCTTTCCAAGCATTATATTTCTCTCCAAGGAATAGCTTCTCCTAGCAACATGCCTGAAGGAACACTCTGGCTGTATTTTTCTGAGAAATACTTGTTTATTCAATGGTATATTTAGTACTCTTCTGTAACACACAGCTCAAAGGCATAAATTCTTCTTCTGTCATCCATAATCATTGACCAGCTATCAGATGCATAACAAATGATTGGAAAGACTGTGGACTCATCTAACCAGCTGAAGGTCTTAATACAAACACTGAGGTTTCCTGAGGGAAAGGCTGTCTTCCTTAAGTCTACAAGCTATATATCTTGACTGAATTTCCAGATTTCAGACTCAGAATTGCTTGACCCCCCAGCCTACACCCTAAAAATTTTGGACTTATCAACACCTAAAATCACATGAGCCATTTCCTAAAAAAAATAATTTATCAAAAATTAATCTTTCTCTGTGTGTTTCAGTTTTTCTTTCTCTCTGCCTATAATACAGATTATGTTTCTCTGAAGAACTCTAATATAAGTACATTAACAAATGTTAGATCACAGAACTCACCCTTATCAAAACGACGTCAGCTGCTTCAATAGCTACATCTGTGCCTGTTCCAATGGCAATTCCAACATTTGCCATTGCCAAAGCTGGAGAGTCATTTATTCCATCTCCTACCATTGCTACACATTTCCCTTCTTCTTGGAGTTGTTTCACTTTAGCAACTTTATGGGAAGGTAGAACTTCAGCATACACCTTAGTAATGCCAACCTAAATAAGGAAAAGAAAATTTCAAAAAAATATTGAGTATCTGAAATATGCTTAATAATAATGAGCCATCATTTTTATTTTTACTCACCAGATATCCAAATTATGGGAGACTGGTAATATTAAATGTTAGCAAAAATGTGGAGAAATTAGCTCTCTTATACTACTGATGAAAATAGAAATTGGTACTGTGTTTTGGTTTTTTTAAAAAATTATTTTATATTGGTTTGCATACAAGATTCATATACATTGTGTCTCATTCATGTACATTGTGCTTCACATATTCCTTTGTTCACATTTCATAAAATCATTTATATACATTGTGTTTTATAAAATCAATCATCATTGATTTATGTCTACCCTTACCCCATCTTTTCAGGTTCAAATTAGGTATTTCCCATTCTTTCACCTTTCGCCCCCCCCAACCACCCAGTAAATTCTCCTAGTGATTCCCTCCACTTTCATGTTCCTCTTCCTTACCCCTCGCTTCTTCCTCTTTGGATTTTATAGACATATTTCTATTATTTCTATTTTTACAATAGAATTATGTAATATTTGTCTTTATGAGACCGAGTTAGTTCGCTCAGTATGTTCTCTAGACTCTACCATGTTATATAGTATTTTAGGAAATCGTTGTTCCTTACTGCGGCATAGTATGCCATTGGGTGAATGTATCACAATTTATTTTTTTGTCTTAACTTTTTAATTTTATTTATTGTGATTTTAATGAAAATATACAGAAAATATGGATTTCCATTCATTCATTCATTCATTAATTCATCATTGCACATTTTTCTCCCTACTCCTGCCCTCAAGTTTGCTTTAAAAAAATAAAAATCATTCATTGTTGCATAATTTCCTTTTTCCCCCCACTCCAGTCCACTTTGCTATATACATCTTATTCTGGACTGCTGTCATATCTACAACATCTAATCATATATTCCTTTATAACAGTTCTATCCTTCATCTGTTCCAAGGCAGTGTTCATTATTTATCTCCTTTTCATAGTTTTCCCCCAACCCTCACATAACTCCTGTTCTGTAACAGTAGCGCTATGCAGTATTTGGCCTTTTGTTAATGGGAAATTTCACTCAGCATAATGTCCTCCTGGGTCATCCATGTTGTATAAAATTAAATTAGTTTCTTATTTTTCAGTGCTGCATATTATTCCATAATGTGACTATACTACAGCTTTTGTATCCATTCTTTTGTTGATGGGCATTTGGGTTGCTTCCCTCTCTTTGCTATTGTGAACAATGCAGCAATAAACATGGGTGTGTGTATATCTCTTTGAGTGGCAGCTCTGGTTTCCTTAGGGTATATTCCCAGTAGTCCAATTGCTGGGTCAAATGGTATTTCTATTTCCAAATTTTTGAGTAAGCATCATACTGCCTTCCATAGTGGTTGCACCATTTTACACTCCCACCAACAATGAAAATGGGTTCAGCTATCTTCACCACCTCACCAGCATTTGTTGTTTGCTGCTCTGTCGAACTTTGCTATTGTTTCTGGGGCAGATGATATCTCATAGCTGTTTTGATTTTTGTATCTCTCTTAGAGCTAGGGATTTCAAACACGTCTTTCTGTGTTTGTTTGCCATCTGAATGTGTTCTTTGGAGAAGTGTCTGTTCATATCCTGTGCCCATTTTGTGATTGGGCTGTTTAACTTGCTGAGATGCTAAAATATTCTATAAATTTTAGATAGGAGACATGTCATTTCCAAATGCTCTTTTCCTAGTCTGTGACTCTCCTTTATATCCTGCTGGAGAATTTTGATGTGCATAGGGATTTGATTCTTAAAAGGTCCCATTCATCCATTTAATTCTCTCCTGGTTCAGGTTTTTATGATTCTGGGAAGACTCTTCATATTGTGGCTTAGGGCTTCTAGAGTTCTTCCCAGCTTTGTTCTCATGAAGATTACAGTTCTTGGTTTTACTCCTAGGTTGTTAATCCACTTTGAGTTGGTATTTCTGTATGGTATGAGGTGTGTTTCTCGCTTGAGGTTTATAAAGAGAGTTTTCCAATTTTGCCAACACCATTTGCTAAAGAGGCTTTCATTTCCCCACTTAACTGATTTCATCTCCTTGTCAAAAATCTATTGACTATAGGTAGATGAGCTGATTTCTGGGTTCTCAATTCTATCCCATTGATCTATGGGTCTGCCACTGTACCACACTGTCTTGACCACCATGGCTTTGTAGTAGCATTTGAGATCAGGAGAGAGATGCCCCCTACTTTGTTTCTCCTTTTCAGGAATGCTCTACTTGTTCGGGATCTTTTTCCATTCCAGATGAAATTGGAAACTGTCTTTTCCATCTTGTTGAAGAATGGAATTGTTATTTGTATAGGGATTGCACTGAACCTGGGAATTGCCTTTGGTCAAACTGTCATTTTCACAATATTGAGTATTCCTATCCACGAGCAGGGTATATTCTTTCATTTCTCCAAGTCTCTTTTTGTTTCTTTTAGTAAAGTTTTGTAATTTTCTTTGAATAGGTCTTTTGTGCTTCTAATTAGATTTACTCCCAAGTAGTTAATCTTGTGGTTTGCTATTGTGATGAGTATTGGTTTTTTTTAGCACCAGTTCTGTATTCTCTTTGTCATTAAAGAGAAGTCCAATTGATTTTTGTATGTTGATCTTGCATCCTGCAACTTTGCTGAATTGGTTGACTATGTTCAGTAGTTTTCTCAGTGAGTCTTTAGGGTTTTCTACGTATACTATCATAACATCTGCATAGAGAGATAATTTTACCTCCTCTTTATCAATTTGGATACCTCTGATTTGCTTCTCTGGTCTATTGCTCTTGCTAAGATGCTAAGACTTCCAGTAAAATAATGAATAAGAAAGCAGACAGTGGGCATCCTTGCTTATTTTCTGTTCATAAAGGGAATTGCTTTAAACTCTGTCCATTGAGAATTATGTTGGCTCCTTGGGTTTGCATATATATTTTTTGAGGAAACTATTTGATGAAATTCCATCCATTCCAATTTTATTGAGTGTTTTAACCAGAAAAGATGCTGAATTTTGTCAAAGGCCTTTTCTGCATCAATTGATAGGATCATGTGGTTCTGGTTCTTTGCATTGTTAATGTGATGATTTACATGGATTTTTTTTTCTTATGTTGAACCATCCTTGCATAACTGTTATGAATACCACTTGGTCACGGTGTATTATTTTTTTGATGTATCATTGGATTCTGTTGGCCAGGATTTTACTGAGGATTTTTGCATCTATGTTCATGGGTGATATTGGTCCCCTATTTTGGGATGTCTTCACACGCCTTTGGTATCAAGGATATGTTTGTTCCATAGAATGATTGTGGGAGCATCTCATTTTTTTCTGTTTTCTGAAATACTTTACGTAGAATTGCTAACAATTCTTCTCTGAATGTTTGATAAAACTCACTAGCAAATCCATCCAGTTCAGTGCTTTTTATGTTGTTTGTATTGGAAGTTGTTTTATTACCTGTCCAATTTCTTCTTTTGTTTTTTTTTTTTTTGTTTTCTTTTGGTTTTTTTTTTCTTTTATAGGCATATCTTGTTTTATTGCCCTTTGTAGACAGAACATTTTAATCGAAGTTGAATGTTGTGGCAATGCAGTATCAAACATGTTTACTGGTCTCATTTTTCCAACAGCAGAGCTTTGTGTAAATTCTTCTTTTGTAATGGGTCTGTTCAGGTGTTCTATTTCAGTCGTGTCAGCTTAGGTAAGATGTGAGTTTCTAAGTATTTGTCCATTTCCTCTAGATTTTTTATTTCTTTGAGTATGTTGTTGTTATGTGCCGTCGAGTCGCTTGCGACTCATAGCGACCCTATGTACAACAGTCCTAAACTCCGCTCTGTCCTGTGCCAATCGCACCGTCTCTGACACTCCCATCCCAATTATCCCAGTCACTGAATCAATCCACCTCATAGAGGGCCTTCCTCTCCTGCGCTGTCCCTCCACCCTCCCAAGC